AGTATAACATTATGATAAACATTTATAAATGTCCTTTTCATGTTCACATACTTTCTCTTTCTGGTATTTTGCTGCTCCTATTCATCTTCTGGTCGAGGTCGAACAACCCTGCATCTAAACTGAAATGAGGATTAATTCCAAACCGTCTATCTCATAACCACTCAAATTCCATGAACGATCCAATTCTACCATTTGAAGACGCTGGCGAACATGCTGTAAATGAGTATTCATGATCTGAAATGAAGAAGCAACTGGTCTTCAACCAGTTTTCAACATTTTACTCAACTTACGAATACAGTCCGCCATGCAGACACAAATGGAGCAAATGGAGGATTCTGGAATCGACCTCGGCACCACTTGATGCAGTAAAACAACCCAACATGACCTTATCTAGTTTTCGTATCCACGATCAAATTTCTTTCCTGTTATAAAACTACGATAAGACTACTGAAAAAATGGAATAAATATATCACTGATCTCAACATAATACATCAATAAACTTTAAACCAAGGGTGTTGCTCACAACAAAGTTATATAAGAGAATTGACTTCAAGCTTTTTTTTCCCAGATATCCGTATTACATTCATCTGATGTCTGGGTTTTTTGTTAATGCGAAGACAATATTTCTATATCTCTTTATGTGCTACACAAACAGACTTTATAGCAGACTGTTCCGACTGACTCTAATGTCAGAAAGAACAACAAAACTGTAATTTAATCACACATCGAATTATGTGTAATTTATATAACAACTTATCCATGCCTGTACAATTGGTATGTTCCTGCATAAACAGGAAGAAATATATATTATTAGTATATCATATCGTGCCTGCAAAATGGCATGCATTTCCATGTAAATTTATATGTTTGTATGATAATACACATTATTTTTGTTATAAAGAAGCAACTGGTTTTCAAACTGTTTTCAAAATTTTACTCAACTTACGAATACAGTCCGCCATACAGACACAAATGGAGAGTTCTGGAACCGACCTCGGCACCATTTGATTCAGTAAAACAACTTGACATGACCTTATCTAGTTTTCGCCTCCACGATCAAATTTCCTTCCTGTTATGAAACTACGATAAGACTGCTGAAAAATGGAATGAATATATCACTGATCTCAATATAGTACATCAATAATCTTTAAGCCAAGGGTGCTGTTCACAACAAAGTTATATAAGAGAATTGACTTCAAGCTTTATTTTTCCCAGACATTTGTATTACATTCATCTGATGTCCGGGTGTTTTGTTAATGCGAAGACAATATTTCTATACCTCTTTATGTTCTACAGAAACAGACTTTATAGCAGACTGTTCCGACTGTCTCTAATGTCAGAAAGAACAGCCAAACTGTAAATCCATTATACATCAAATCATGTGCAATTTATATAACAACTTATCCATGCCTGTACAATAAGTATGTTCCTGCTTAAACAGGGAGAAATATACATTATTACAAAAGAACGAAGAGAGGTTCGAGTACGCTACCTTGAATTACGCACGTTGATAGTAGAAAAAGTGTCGTCAGTTTTAGCAGATCGAGACTGAGCACACATAAGTGAATTAAACCTGTCAGACAACTCTCAGTAATTGTCAATGTCCAGCTCTTACTACGCTGGACCTCACGCTGTCCCTGAAACATCTTACGAGCCAGTGTGTCCTACAGATTCTAATCTTTCAGACCTTTGAATGCGCTACTCATCAAACTATCACTTATAAACTTGGCAATAATTCTTCAGCGAAGAGCTGTTATACACCGTTGTAGCTTAACTTTCTAGTCCTTCTATCAGGCTAAGACTTACTCTTTTCATTCTAGTACTTCGCCCTCCTAAAGTCTGGTTGTGGTGATGAAGGAAATACGACAACAACATCAACGTTTCAGCATAGCTATATTTTCGTTGAAACTTCATGGTTTCTACGGTAGGACCAATATGGTTAGCATTATATACCGCAAATGTACATTACCATCCCAAGGACTCTATCGCTCATTCTTGGTTACATCTTGTAAATGTTCCTTCAATGATGTTTTATCCATAATTCCATTTTGCACATACGGACTGTTGATTGGTTGACCATAGCTATCATCAGGAAACGGAATGAAGTTCGGGTCGCCGCCCAACCTTGTTGGTGACCTTATTAAGGGATTTGCACTTTGTCATTTACACGAACCTGTTCTGATTGCTTGTACTACTACTACTACTCAACTATTTAAACTTTTGAAATGGTGTCTATTCACTGACACTGCAATATTGCAATTCATACCATATCCTATCATGCGCGTAAAAATGGCATGCATTTCATACAAATTTGCCTGTTTACACAAAATATAAATTGTGATTTTCTCGGCACACGCGATATGTCAAATTCCAGTGGAAACTCTCAATACGGTAAAAAGCATCAAATAATAACATATATCGGGCACATTTACCCTAGTGATGGTGTTGATCGAATGTTAGTTTTATGAGTATTTCATGATACATGTAAGACTTTGCAGCCATATTTGAAAGTCATTCGATTTACTGGTAAGTTAAATTTGGAGAGGCAGTGGTTGAATCGGAAGTATCATCTTGCTGTTCTGGTTTCTCTAAAAATCTGGGTAGCCTTCCGAGTTCCCTACATTGTACGAGCGTTTCATGTGCAAATGTTTGTTTTTACTTCATAGTAAGAAGACAAATCGGATGGGTGTCTTTCCAGAGGCTCTCAGAAGCCGGCCACATTCTAATTAAGACCTATTTTACGTTGATAGTTTCGGAGTACTCTGAAGTTTATGTAGTGTCTAGATTGGTTTTCCGTGATTGAATCGAAATCCACTCCCGAAACTCCACCTTCTCACAGGCTTACAACCGGCTAAAAACTAAAGAATATGCCGAAAGTTGAGGTAAATGACTGTAGCACTTATTTGCCAGGTGGTGATGCACGTGCAGTACCATGTCTGAGCTAATTAATTATTGAGGTTCCACATGTAGTGAGACCGAACCCACCTCCCTGTCACCTGGTTGTCGATGTCAAGAAGCCGGGCATTCACACTCACTGCAGACTCCGCCATGCTGATATACACCAGATAGAACATGCCATCCATCAAAACTTTGGGTGGCCACTGTGGCATCATGGTGTCTCTGAGCTCTATCACCTGTGATATCTGTGGCTGAGAGAAGCCACCCCTACAGCCATCGCGAGTGCTCCTCATAACCATATAAACACAGGTACAGAAGCAAAGATTGGGTGCTTGTATCATGGAGGCACTCACAACTTCGAAACGAGAATACCGGAGTGTGAAACGGTGCAACCACTCTTGGTCTGAATTTCAGTGGGCGTCGAATTTCTCTGCTCGGGACCCCACAAACACTACACTGTGACCGCAGTGTCGTTCTTAAGAGTCAATTTATTGCTAATATCTGCAGTGCTTTCCGTATGACTGCGTTCGGCCCACACGGCTGTTTATTTCGCAACGGAGAGTGATTTAGTTTTTTGATTCATTTACGTTCTCAGTGGGGCAGGGCTTCAAGCTAGGGCTTTGAAGTTTCGGTAGCAGTGGCATTTGTTTTATGGGGTGGAGTTACTAGCCTAATACCCAACCTTCCCTCTTTACTAGTCATATTACTGGCTTAGTGGGGCAAGGGAGTGCATAGGCCAGATATAGGACCCTGGAACACAAGCATGGCTGTTGGCTTTTCTACCGTTAAGCCACCGAGAGCTGAGTGGTTTACTGGAGAGCACTAATCGGACAATTAGCGCCCTTCTTCGCCATTCTCTCTGTCGATTAACGATAAATACCCGGTATAATGTAATATCCCTCCTCCCACTCCCCGACCACTCCTCCGTTCATCCATCCATGGACATTTCTCCTACTCCACTTCTGTTTACTCACGAATCACATCCCGTAGTTGAGGTTCAAACACCAGTCCTATCCTTTGCTGAGTTAGGTTCGAGAATCGCGTAATTGATTGGCAATAGCCTATGATAGGGCATGCACTAGAGATGTGTCATCTAGCTATCGGTGTAGAAACACATACGGTCTTCCTATTTGTGGATTTTTTTCACTCAATTGGCATTTATTTTCATTTCTGCTGCCCATCAGGATGAAGGTGAAAATTCTACTCCTCATCTGAGAGGCCACATGCAATCACGCATGCACAACACCTAAATACGTGTTTCATGAAAGATTGTCACTGTTGCTGCTCACTGTAGTCAGCTGGGACCCTACCGTGCATTCTATCAATACAACCTTCCCAAATTCTACAAACTAGCAGCTTGATGAACAGATTATCAAGTCTCTTAAACTTGACACTGAGGAGAGGAGACAGAGAAACGAAGGGAGACTGTATAGATTGCAAGGGATTCACTCCCACTCTTTCAGTTTGATGCAGGCTAACTTCACGCATGCTGTTCAATATGTGTTCTGCTTTGTTTATCTGTCTGCTCATCCGATTGTCTAAAAACATTGGCGGGCTCCTGAGAATCCACTCAGCTTTTCAGACTCAGATTTATTGGTTACTATGAGTGAGAGCATAAAAGTTGTGTGCCGTGTGAGGCCACTTAACGAGCAAGAGAAAGCAAACGACAGCAAGTTTGTGGTGTCATTCCCCGGTGATGGAGACACAACTGTATCTCTTGGGGTATGTTTGATGGTTTTCAAACTTGTGACAACTCTTCTATCTAGGGTAAAATCTTTAGCTTTGATCATGTAGTTCAGCCGAAGGCATCTCAGTTAGAGGTGTACGAAGTTGTGGCCAAGCCTATTGTTGCAGATGTGTTGAATGGATATAATGGAACAATATTCGCCTATGGTCAAACATCGAGTGGAAAGACTTATACTATGGAGGTATGACATTCTGTTTTCTGATTGTTTCTCCTCAGGGTATTTTAGGTGACCCAGTTTTTCAAGGTGTTATCCCGCGGATAGTTGATGATATATTCAACCATATATACCAAATGGACGAGAATTTGGAGTTCCACATTAAGGTAATTTTTGTGGTGCTGCTCTTCTTATCTCCAGGTTTCTTACTTTGAAATATACATGGAAAAAATCCGTGATCTGCTTGATGGTAATTTTTTCGCTCTAACTTATATCTTGATTCAGTTTCAAAAACAAACCTACCGGTGCATGAGGACAAAGACCGAGTTCCTTACGTGAAAGTAAGATATAATTCCTCCTAACGAGAATGTTTAAGGGTATCACGGAAAAGTTTGTTTCCACTCCAGAAGAGCTATTCAAAGCGATTGACGAGGGGAAGGCTAACCGTCATGTAGCCGTGACGAGTAAGTATTCTTAGTATATGTCGTACCTGAGTGTTAGCTAGGCGTGGTGGTTTGACTGAAATATTGCTTTTTTGTGCATGAAATTCAAGTTATCTTGGGGGTTTATGTGACGCTAATGTTTGACTTCTTATCCATTTATAGACATGAATGAGCACAGTTCTCGAAGTCACTCAGTCCTCCTGATCAATGTTCGACAAGAGAACTTGGAAACTCAAAAGAAACTACATGGGAAACTTTATCTTGTTGACTTGGCTGGTAGTGAGAAAGTTGCGAAGACAGGCGCTGAGGGTACTGTGTTGGACGAAGCCAAAAATATTAACAAATCACTTTCTGCTCTTGGTAATGTGATCAATGCACTTGTGGAAGGAAGTGTAAGTTTATGCTCTCAGGTTGTGGTGGTGGTATTGTAGCCAGTGTTGACTTTGAATTTCCATGTGATTAAGACGCATAAGATATTGAATTGTTCTGTGTTGATCACGCCTATTTGTATGTGCTCGCTTGTTAGCAGAGTTCTGTACTGTGTGTTTCTGAGGCAGAAGAACCCATCACACTAACTCATATTTTTAGCTTCTACTACGACTAGAATCTCTTGTCTGCATATGTTGTGCTTATTTGAAGATGACTGCCACTACCTTATCAAGCTATTGATCTGTTAAATGATTTCCTGTTTCAGTCTCACGTCCCTTATCGTGACTCTAAACTAACTCGCATTCTTCAAGAATCTCTTGGAGGGAATGCACGAACAACTATGGTGATCTGTTGTTCTCCTGCTGGTTATAATGAAGCCGAAACGAAGTCGACCCTAATGTTCGGTATGCGAGCCAAGACCATCAAGAATTTGGTAACGGTGAATGAAGAAATCACGGCTGACGAATGGCGTAGGAGGTATGAGCAAGAAAAAGAGAAGGTTGGTAAATCACACACTATTGTAAGTCATCTGGAGAGTGAATTAAAACGTTGGCGAGCAGGTAAGGAATACTTACTGTGACTGTTTTTTGCTTAAGTTTAACTCGTAAGTTTTGAAATTAAGGACTCAGAATTGTTGATGTCGTACCAATTACGAGAATTCAACTTGAGCTGTTTCTGCATGACAGTTGTGTTGATTCGTCTTTTCGTAAATTGTATCTTTTTGAGTAGGAATAGAGAATGTAAAGGATGGGAATGTGAACCAATAGCACAGAGGGAAAGTAAGATATTGATGTGGGAGTTTGCTTGAAATATTCAAGGTATCAGCAGCATAAAGTGACTGAGTTGCTCAGAGCAGATATCTGGTGTATCGGACCGTAAGCCACAAATATTTTGTAAAGACTAATGTCGTTGGAAACAGTTATAATTCAATGTGGAGAAATGACGTGTAGCAGTTAAGATCACTAGTGGAGTAATATTCTATTCTACTTTGGTATTATGACAAAGTGGTCACAGGAAATCATTCCAATCATCACCCCTATCACATTGAACTCGTGTGTATGGGCTGAGGAAAGGTGTAATAATTCCAGCGAACATCGTGCATAAATATAGAAGTTGACTTGAACCAAATTTTTGTTGTCATATAATCTGTGTTATATGTTAAATTTCAGGTGAAACTGTTAATCAAGCTGATTGGTTCACGGAAAATCAATATGCTGGTGCCCTAGATGATACAAGAGATTCGACAACTAGATCCAGTGTCCCCAGTACACCTATGCTAGACAGCGTCACTACTTCTACACCACGATCTGCTGCTCTCACAAATGCATCTCCAGGTAGTCTATTTCGTCTCTGTTGGTAGTCGTTCTTTCATAATATTTTGTGTTAATACTATTTTTTACTTTCATTTGTCATTTCACCTTATGTTATTGATGAGTTTTGTGTAAGTCGGTGAATCTAGTGACTTCTAACTTCCCTTCTCCACATTGTTTTGTTGGTGTAGTGAAGTAGTGATATTTTTCTTCTCAGTTGGTGAGATAGTTAGCACTTGAGGTAGCTTCGTTTTCCCAATGTAGACATTGGTGGTAGAACTGTAGCTGAGGTTGGAGAAGCTCTCTGTGATCTAAGACGAAGCGGATTGCGTCAATTGACCGACAGCGTGGCTCTTCAGGTGTTTCAAAATGGGAGTGGTGAATAGTGGAGTGGGGTAGTTGGTGTTCTAGTCAATGTGGTCTGGTGGTCTTAGATAGTTTCATCAGATTTGTGTAGATGGCCAGGCTTCCCCTGTGCTGATCACAGGGGATCAGACTGGTTGATATTGTATCTAGGATACTTTGGGAAATGAAACAGTCAAGCATACAGGCTGCAGTTCTAGGCAAAGGTGTATTATGATTTCCTCTCTATCCAACAGGTTTTGAGGACAAGCTTGTTTTTAGAGTCTAGCATTTCACATATTTCGTGACTTACACGTCTGTCTGTCTGTCTGTTTTCGACATCGAACTATGCACCGATGTGCGGAAGTTCAAGTCGCCACACTCCTTGTAGCACGCGAAGCAAGAGAAGAAAGTACAAGAAAAGCATAATAGAAACAGTGAGCAGAGGTGTGAGACAAAGGAGGAGTATTGACGAAGAACAAAACAGTTTCATAGGAAATCATAAGTCACAAGGAGTGGATGCATCTGCGATAGCCACTGAGAACGATTTTGAGCCATGTCACCAATTGTTTCCAACCATTGGTTTTTACCGTCCCGAGGACCCCAGCCTGGAAGTCTACACCTTCCTACGTGGCTTAGACCAACTGTTGTGGATTTTATTGACTGGTTCGGCCAAGTTTTTGTTTGACAGCCGCTAGCTATTTTCCAGCCTGACCCAATATCAGCCAACATTGCTCGTCGAGGGAGGCGATGGCTTGGCATACGTAACACATGGCCTACACGTAGAATTTTACTTCATCTGACTTATTGAGAAATGATGTTGACTTATTCCAGCAGACCTACTCGGGTATGTGCAGCTGTTTTGAGGGTATATAGAAAGTTGTGTTCGGTTGGCGATGATCAATGTGCTTGCACTAAGAACGCTCACTGTCACTATCTGTACCTAATTTAGTTTGGTGAATGACGTATTGGTGTTTCTTTTACATTGGTGTCAGTAAGTAATTGCAAGTAATTCTCTTACCTCTCGGTACTCGTCAGAAAGATATACCGTCAACATCGGAGAGAGCCTGTGATTTTCGGTGATTTGTCAGTCGTTACCGACATCTACAACGTTACTACCAAGCTGTTTAGCCTGAAACTGACGTATGATCTTAGTGAGCTTAGTGACAGCATCATGTACATGATTAGTTTTCATCGACGCTTATGACTGAAGGAAGTTTCGAATTGGCTACGGTTGAGTGACCATTGTGCACTTGTGTCAGTGTAGTGATTGTTGGTGTGAACATGTGAGGGGTGTTTAGACCGTCTGGCTGAGCTGAGGGTCCTTGGAATAGTGAAAATCATTAAGTAGAGACTCGGTACGGTAACTTAAACTTCTGTGCGGATCTGTGCTCTGATCAGTAATTCAAACAGAGGGTATCTTCTATACCGAGTAAGCTTACTAATTAATTAATTAAATAACTATTTGAACTACTGATTGGTTGTTGTTTGTGTGTATTTCTGAGTGAACTGATGGCACTTTGCCAACCAAGAAGGTGTTGTTGCAATTCAGAAGTGTTTATTCCATTCTGATTATATGTCTGCCTCGACGTTTTATTCTGGTATGCGAAATTATCGAAATGTACTTGATGATTTGTCAGTTTCTTTTTGATTTAGTCTTGTTTTGTTGAAACCATGAGATATTACGCGTTCTTGTCGTATCATAAATACTATGCAGAATGCTGATCACCGTGTTTTTTCTCTCAGCCTACACTCCGGGCAATATTTTTATTTTTTTTTTTTTTTTTTATTGGCGCTGGTTTTACTTCAGCGAAAAATGTTGGAGATGTACAGTTACAGTTGCTTTATCAACAATTTGACGACAGAGGTGATGAAATAAATAAACAAGCTGAGACAATAGCACGTCTTCGACAGCAAATTGAAGAGCAAGATGTGAACAATTCTCTGCGTACAGAAAGTGAAGGACAATTTAAAGAAATCACAGCTCTTCAGGTAAGTTGTAGTACATATTTCGAACATGTTTTTATAAATTTATATATTCGTGGAACTGTATTGAAAGTTGATATATTTTAGCTGTTATAATTAACTGCTTTTAACATTTGATTGATTTTCTGAGGTCCGTTGTGTTGCTTTCCAATTGGGGAGTAGAAGGCGGTGGGTGGAAGTTGAGAGAAGGCAAGACTCAATGGCCACTTGGATTTTGACGAATTTGTCGTTGAGTCACACCTATTGTATGTGAGCTCCAGTTAGTGATATAATAGTGTTTTTGTGTCATATTGTCAAGAGATTTTTTAAAAAAGGCTATTTTTGTAATAAATCTCATGTGTTTTTATGTGAATTAGCCTGGAATGCTTTCTTCCTTCTCAGAGTGCATGTTATGTTGTTCGCTTATTTTAGTGAACTTTCAAGCAGTAGTAACAGTAACAGCGGTGGGAGTAGTAGAAGAAGAACTGTGGTTTGACTGAAGTTCACTGGTGGTGGTGATGATGATGATGATGGTGTAGGCATGAGTTATCGTCATTCATAGTGGATGAGTGAAATTACTGAACTCACATGGTACTCACACATTAAGTTGAGAAAGACTGTAAATAGATGAGATGTGGGAGGAGATTGTGGAAACTTTCAGACTGAAGTGTAGGTGTTTGTTTTAAGTATAACCGTTTCATCATAATTGTGATGAATCGGCGGGTATTAGAGTACTGAAGTTATTTCGCTCTTCTTTGTAAAGCACATGATGACTGCCATTCGTCTTTGACAACCAGCAAACATGGATTTTGCCTGTCCATTAATCCCTTTATATTCTAGGTGGTATCAGTTATCCACTTTCATCCTTACTGCATCATCCTCCCTCTCTTCCTCCTCATCCCGCGTCTGCTCTGTGGGAGAAATACTCACCGAAGTCAACATAACTCACCTAGTATTGTATTGATAGGATTATTATGCTCACAGTTTTGTAATTTTTGTGAAATGTTCCGTCTAAATGCAGTTTTTTCTCCCCTTATGTGTGTGTGTGTGTGTGTGTCAAGGCTAAATACCAGTCGAGGAAAGATGAAGCGAAAGAAGTCCTGCAAGCCTTAGAAGAATTAGCAATGAATTATGACCAAAAGGCTCAGGAGATTAATGCGAAAGCGAAAGAACTGAAGAGACTCAGGAAACCTTGCTACTACAAACCAGTTTAATGCATAGTAAAGACTGTGAACTGTCACAGTTGAAGGATGCATATGAAAATCAGAAGAAGAAATATGCTGAAATGATGTCTAGCCTGTTGAAGGATCTAATTGATGTTGGTGAATGCTTGAATGATCGAATCACGGTAGGTTTAAAAGTATTTATGAATTTTGTTTTATTATTGAATGGGTTGTTATTCTAAGGATGTGAGCACCCTGAGTAGGGAAGTAGTCATGGCGCATACACTGCTTTGATAAGTTCACTATGGCGGGATGAGCGTATTATCGTCGCATAGAATCTGGTTTGCATAAGCCGTTGTTGCCACATTAAATTACATTAGTGGAGTAAATAATAAGAAGTAAGATGATGGGATGGATCATTACCTAGTGACGTCTGGGATCGCACTCAAGAAACATGGCCAATACGAGTTGAAGACATGAAAAGGTTGACTGCTTTCGATCATAGATGTCTACGATCTCTTTCTCACGTTAGGTGGTTTATTAAGGTAAGTGATGTTGACGTTAGGCGTAGAGTGTTGGGCAAAGAGGGAAAATCAATCGACGAGGCTATAAAGTTACATAGACTAAGATGGCTAGGTCACGTGGTGCGCATGCCTAACCACCGCCTCCCCCGACGGGCATTACTAGCTGATATAGGTGTGCAGGTTGGAAAAGAGTAAGTGGTGGCCAAACAAAAACATGGCCTCATCAATACATGAAATCCTTGACAGACTGAGTCAGGCGAGGGAGATGCAGACTTCCGGGTTGGGGCCCTCGGAGACTCTAGGAATCAATGGCTGGAGACAATAGGTGACATGGCTCAAAATCGTTGTCAATGGCCAGCGCAGATGTATTCAGTCTCTGTAATCTTTCATATTCTTTCTACCATTACCCATTCTGTTTCACTCTTATACTTGTCAAACTCTATTGATTCTCATCACTCATCTTCTTGTCTACCTCTGTGTGCTATTTGGAACGTGGCGACTCGAACTGGTGCACTTCGGTGCCAAGTTCTATGTTGAATCCAGACAGAGACAGACAGAAGTCTGCAACAAACCAAGGACTGGACGCGTGACACTAGTTACTGGTGTATGTAAGTGCAGAACTTGAACACCGTAGTAGAATGTAATTCAACAATAAATAGGTCTATTTCAAATATCACACCGTGATGATGCAGCATTGATTAATAACTGAATGGCGTTCCGAGCACTATTATTGCCACATATAGTCACGATGTGTTACTTAACTGATATGGCTGTGAGTGTAATGATTTGCGCTCAAAACGTCATCCAGTTATTAATACTGCAATCACTGTGTGATATTTGCAATAAACTTATCTAATACGCAATTAGTTAGCATCTACGGTTCAACCAAACCATCTATCCATCACAGTCCTAAATGAGGTCAATCGCCAGCACGAATAGCCACTGCGGCGTCAGATTACAATATCAGAGGGAATATGAGTTCCTCCATGACTGCGGATACGCCTTGCTGATAAATGGCGACAAGCACCAAGCCTACGTCAAATGCTTCTCTCGCTCACCACCTCCAACCATTTGGAAATCAACAGTGACTGAAACAGCACACCTACAAGTGTGCTTTCAACGTCTAAATTCTAAGGAATAACCCACTAAACATTCAGACAACCAGAGAGGTATCATTAACCTACCGCAGTAGATGACCTGCATCACAAAAGAAGCTGCCTTCCTCATGAACAAATTAGGGTCTACCAGTTGAGTTGCATAAGCTAATTATACTTCAACGGTAGCTGAAAATTTATTGTCGTCGTCCTCGTCTTCTTCAACCCTACAAAACATCCATCCCAACTGAGTACATCCATAGACACCACTCAGGTGTGATGCAGCAGAGAGACAAAACATGCCCCATTTGCAACTGATAAAACACATTCACAATATCACTCAAAAAAGACAAAAAGACATTATAACTTCTTACACATCACGAACCTTTTTAACTCGACTATTAAGTTCTTCGATGAATAATCGGCGTAAATTGTGTAGAGTTTGTAATTCTTTGTTGACTGTCTCTTCCGAACCACGTAGATCTTTTCTAGCTTGTTCACGTTTCTCAGCCGTCTTCTCGAACGTGCCTAGTAGTTTAGTTTTTGTCGCCAATCTTTCACGTAACTGTTCCACCTCCTCTTGTGATTTCTCGGATTGGAATTTGAAATTATTAGCTTTACTGTGAATGTAAAAATGAGAATAAAAATAGAAATGAGGAGGAACTACTGAACCTCAACTTTTAAAATTTGTTAAATCTTCCATCTTATCAATTATTCTTCATTGCCCCCTACACACACCTTAGCCTTTCCTGGGCTACCTACTAAGGTATATGTGTTGAGCAGTAGGTTGTAAATGATTATGCATACAAAACGCCAAAGATATTCGCATATTTGGTTTAATCATTCATGTGTCTAACTCTTCTCAGAGAAACCAACAGACTCAACTGAACCTTTCTGTACACTTCAAACAATAAGAAAAATATTCACTCGGATATATGAACATTATCATGGTCATTATCGAAGCAAAATAAGCCCAATAACATCAAACTACCGAGATCATAACGACGATGATACGACACGTGGACACTCAGTAAGTTGTACGTGCACATACAGTTGTTCACTGGGTGACAGACAATAAGGTCACCTACTGTGCTAAGAGACTGCAACTAATATGCTCTCACAATATACATGCTGGTTGCTGATTCGAACACACTTTTCACTCAGATAGGCTGTTGTATGAGATGACACCGACCAGGTGACTCGGTGAAGAAAGGCCCAAATTACCACTCACAACCAGACAGGTTGAAATAGAGATGAGGAATTATGGGCTGAAATTCGACTAGTTCAAGTCGGTGGACCACATCTCCACAACACACCTATCAAAAAACAGACAACTTACTCTTTGTATTCTTTCAACTTCTTCTCTTTCTCATCTAATTCATCACGTAGAGATTTCACCCGAGCAGCATAACACTCTGATTGTCGTTTAAACTCTTCATCTAACTTTGCTCGTAACGCTGACTGATCAGCTACTATTTGTTCACTTTCCTGATCGGATCCGGCGATCAATAGTTCATTAGCGCGTAGTTTTGCCAACTCCGCATTTAAGCTATCCACTGTCTCCTGCAATTGACGCTTACGTGATTCTGACTCATCAATTTTGTCGCTTAAGGTGCCAACTTTCACTTCAAACTTAAGACGAAAGAAAAAGAAATCAGAAAGGCATATTAAAAATGGAGGAATGGTTAGAAGTAACGTTAGAAATAACACCTACCTAAATATAAACATTACTTAAGTCGAGTGTGAATAACGATAAATGTTTACCACACAACAACCAATCAACCAACTAGCGAATTGCATCTACACACCGTTTATTGCTAACCAGAGTTGCACATCTACTGCAGTGTCAGAGCTTATCCATACTCACACACACACTAAATGATCAAATCTTGCCAGCTGTGGAGGAATTACAACCCGTCAAACAATGGTTAGCAATTAAATGACTAAACCCCCAATGAGTAATAGGTCAGCTGTATAAACAAACTTCTGCATAGTCACCTTCAATTCAACTCCTCAACACACCGTATTTTGATAAATTCTCAACAGAACAGACACACGAACTGTTAATCCTCCTTTCACCAATCACACATATCCGTGTGCGATGAATGCAATGGTCTGCTTAAATCACTGAGCTACACACATACATTTCCTGCATCCAATCAAAGTTCTATCAACTACGTTCTACATCATCCATCCGACTATGTCATTGAACAACTGAGAAATTCAGGAAGCGGATCCCGTTCCATTTGTCATTCAGGTAGATATATTTACATCCCTAGACCCAGTAGATAACGCCTTCAAAGCCTTGAACACATTCATTGGGCTTGTAAGTCTTGATAATTTCTGTCTGTCTGTCTGTTTTCGACATCGAACTATGCACAATGTGCGGAAGTTCAAGTCGCCACACTCCGTGTAGCACGCGAAGCAAGAGAAGAAAGTACAAGAAAAGCATAATAGAAACAGTGAGCAGAGGTGTGAGACAAAGGAGGAGTATTGACGAAGAACAAAACAGTTTCATAGGAAATCATAAGTCACAAGGAGTGGATGCATCTGCGATAGCCACTGAGAACGATTTTGAGCCATGTCACCAATTGTTTCCAACCATTGGTTTTTACCGTCCCGAGGACCCCAGCCTGGAAGTCTACACCTTCCTACGTGGCTTAGACCAACTGTTGTGGATTTTATTGACTGGTTCGGCCAAGTTTTTGTTTGACCGCCGCTAGCTTTTTTCCAGCCTGACCCTATATCCGCCAACATTGCTCGTCGAGGGAGGCGATGACTTGGCATACGTAACACATGTCCTAACCATCTCAGTCTTTGTAACTTCACGACTTCGTCGATTGATTTCCCCTGTTTACCTAGAACTCGACGCCTAACCTCAATGTTGCTCACCTTATTATGCCGCTTTACACGGGAAATAGAGCGCAGGCACGTATGATCAAAGACAGCTAGTCTTTTCATGTCTTCCACTCTCAGTGGTCAGGTCTCACAACCATAAAGGAGGACGGAGCGGACTGATGAGCAATACACCAGCCCTTTGGTCGATAGTCGAACATCTCGTCTACGCCAGAGTCGGCGTAAACTGGCAAATGCGAGTCATGATAATAGCTTTATCTTTAACACAACAGGTGTCAGCTCGTCATACAATGAAGCTAAAAGTCAAGTGATTAAGCCAACGGAGTCACGATGTATCATCTGTCCACCATACCTCTACACTTGACAACTAGCTTTCATTCCGACTGAACTATTATGATTCGGCTTTCATGCATAACAATGCAACAAATATAATTGACTTACAGCATGAAGTCGTGTTCGAAGATCTTTAGATTCATCATCGCTCTTACGCATTAACTGTACACGTTGCACACGTTCCTCTTCCAATTGACGTACACGTGAGTGCAGTAATTTTACCTCAGTTTTTATCTTACTTACATACAAACGAACAACAGTAAACTCTTCATCTAATCGTTCAGAACCAACAGATAATGTCTGATGTCGTCGTCAACAGAAAACAAAGGAGAGAGAATGAGGGAAGGAAAAAGAAAACATGAGGAATTGTAATCAACAGTCGGAGTAGAAATAATGAATCAGAGGTGAAAATGAAGTTTCCAAACTGACCAGTCATTTCAGAGTAATCAGTTCCAACGGAGAGGAGTGAGGTTCAACAGCCTATTTAGCCCCATGACATCTAATCCTACCCGGTGAACTAATAAACATAGTCGACAAAACCCTCACTCAACAACTATCAATCTAGCTGAGACAAAACGATGTGAACTGTTACAACGGGTCAGCTGAGATATTCTTGACTGTAATACAATGTCACAGGGGTTCATATCTCCATCTTCAGATTTCCTAAAACAAAATATTCACTTTCAGAAGGTATCACAGCATCACGTAAGGTTGATGATGACGAGGGTGATGAATACAGAAATGGACTGACCAATTACACAATTCTAGTAACACTAGACCATGAGCCAAACTTATTCTGTGAGGGTTGGGAGAGATAGGACTCGAATTTGAAGTAATACCACCTTTTTCAGCAGAATGTCAATGAAATAGAATAGGCAACACAGTAAGGCTACTGTCGCTTTCCGTTATGTATCACAATCAAATTTACACTGCAGAAAGTTGGATGTATTAATTTCTGTCAAGTATATAGAGAACTTTCTGTGCCAGCCACATACATGCACGTCTCAGTTATTGACTTTCCGTTTCAGAAAGTTTCGAGAAATATTCCCTGATAAGAAGAGCAGTAGTCGAACATACTAACCAACCAACTAACTAATTCGACTAAGTTTTCTTCAATTACACTCACTAATATAAACATGTTTTCGCTCCTGTACTGAATCAAAAAGACGGTTACAGAGAAGAAAATATTCTTTTCGATAAGGTCATCAACTCGGTTGTACATTCGTGTGTGGGTGAGAAAGTCTCATAACTATTTCTGGTCGGTCAAGGGTCAAATTAATAAAATTACAAAGTATAATAAACACGAAGATTGGATAACAAAAGACAATACGATTATAATTACCGAGGAAGGTTGTTCTTTTTGTATAATTACGGATTAATACCGCACTGATAACACAATAGGCAGCAAGTTCGGATAAAATAATACTGGAACTGAATGGATGTTTTTATGACAATTGACTGATTGAATTTCAACACATGTTTGCACAGAAGAACAAACAAATTGGTAGAGATAGTCCTTCTTCCAAAAGTGATATCACCTTACGATGGCGCCTACGGTGGCTTCAGCACGTGCTACAAATGCTATCTTGATAGCTTCCATACTATTCACTGTCTGACGGTCTTCTGATTGAAAGCGAAACAAGAAGTGGTCAATCTATGACGTGGTGCCGTAGAGAGAAGGATAGTTTGTGCGTTGCGTTATCATTCATTTGAGTGTGATCCGAAACGTCATTAGATAATCCAGCCATTCCATCATCTTAATTCTTATTATTTACTCCACTAATGTAAGGTAATGTGACAACAACGACTTATGCGAATAGGCCAGATTCTATACGACAATAATACGCTCATCCCGCCATGGTGAACTTATCAAGGCAGTGTATGCGCCATGATTACTTCCTTACCCAGGCCGCTCACACACTTCAAATAAGAACCCATTCAATAATGAAACAAAATTGATAAATACTTTTAAACCTACCATGATTTGATCACTCAAGCATTCACCGACATCAATTAGATCCTTCAGCAAGCTGGACGTCATTTCAGTATATTTCTTCTTCTGATTTTGGTGTGTATCCTTCAACTGTGACAGTTCACCGTCTTTACTATGTATTAAACGGGTTTGTAGTAGAAAGGACTCTTGAGCCTCTTCAAGTTCTTTCGATATTGCATCCATCTCTTGAGCCTTTTGGTCATAATTCATTGCTAATTCTTCTAAGGCTTGCAGGACTTCCTTCACTTCATCTTTGTTCAACAGGCATTCAGCCTTGACACACACACACGCGCGCGCAATGAGTGAAGAAAAAAACTCCATTTAGAGGAAACATTTAACAAAAATAACAAAACTGTGAGTATAATAATCCTATCAATACAATATTAGGTGAGTTATGTTGACTTCGGCGAGTATTTCTTCTACAGAGCAGACGGGGTGAGGAGGGAGGGAGGGAGGATGCAGTAAGGATGAAAGTGGATAACTGATACCACCTAGAATAAAAAAGGATTAGTGGATAGGCAAAATCCAAGTTGCTGGTTGTCAAAAACAAGTGGTAGTCATCAAGTGCTTTAGAAAGAAGAGGGAAATAACTTTAGTACTCTGATACCTGCAGACTCATTACAATTATGATGAAACGGTTAGACTTAAAACGAACACCTACACTTCAGGTCTGAAAGTTTCCACAATGTCCCTCCACATCTCATCTATTTAGTCTTTCTCAACTTAATGTGTAAGTACCACGTGAGTTTAGTAATTTCACTCATGCATCATGAATGATGAAAACTCATGCCTACACCATCATCATCACGATCATCACCACCAGTGAAGTCGAACCACAGTTCTTCTACTACTCCCACCGCTGTTGCTGTTACTACTGCTTGGAAGTTCACTAAAATAAGTAAACAAAATAACATGCACTCTGAGAAGGAAGAAAGCACTTTAGGCTAGTTCACATAAAAACACATGAGAGATTCATTGCGAAAATAACCTTTTTTAAAAAAGCCTCTTGACAACACTATTATGTCATTAACTAGTGCTCACATACATGTTACGAAGGTGACTGAGTCTTAGAACGATGAGTGGTGCTTGAATCTTGAAAAGACGAATGAACCAAGAATTTAGGCTTTATTCATTTTGCAATGAAGCCAGAATGGCTTAAACGTATAAAGGGAAAAAAGAGTGTTAATAGCGGTAGAGATATGAATATGATTAGATACGTATTGTAAGAAAAGTTCACAACAATACAATAGGTGTGACTCAACAACAAATTCGGCAAAATCCAAGTGGCCATTGAGTCTTGCCTTCTCTCAACCTCCACCCACCACCTTCTACTTCCCAACGGAAATCAACACAACGGACCTCAGAAAATCAATCGAATGATAAAAGCAGTTAATTATAACGCCTACAATTTAACACCTTTCAATACATTTCCATAGATATATAAATTTATATAAAGTTTGAAACATGTACTACCACTTACCTGAAGAGTTGTGATTTCTTCTAATTGTCTCTCACATTCTGTACACAGAGAATTTTTCACCACATCTTGCTCTTCAATTTGCTGTCGAAGACGTGCTACTGTCTGAGCTTGTTTATTTATTTCATCATCTCTGTCGTCAAGTTGTTGATAAAGCAACTGCAACTGTACACCTCCAACATTTTTCGCTGAAGTAACACCAGCGCCAACAGTGATATTGCCCGGAGTGTAGGTTGAGAGGAAAAACAACACACGGTGATCAACATTCTACATAGTATTTATGTTACGACAAGAACGCGTAATACCTCATGGTTTCAACAAAACAAAACTAAATCAAAAAGAAACTGACAAATCATCAAATACATTTCGATAACTTCGCATACCAGAATAAAAAGTCGAGGCAAGCATATAATCAGAATGGAATAATCACTTCTGAACTATAACAACACCTTCTTGGTTGGCAAAGTGCCATCAATTCACTTAGAAATACGGACAAACAACAACCAACCAGTCAGTCAAATAGTTAAAACATTAATTAGTAAGCTTACTCGGTATAGAAGATACCCTCTGTTTGAATTACTGATTAGAGCACAGCTCCGCACAGAAGTTTAAGTTATCGTGCCGAGTCTCTACTTAATGATTTTCACTATTCCAAGGACCCTCAGCTCAGCCAGACGGTCTAAACACCATTCACATGTTCACACCAACAATCACTACACTGACAGAAGTGCACAATGGTCACTCGACCGTAGCCAATTCGGAACTTCCTTCAGTCATAAGCGTCGATGAAAACTCATTAATCATGTACATGTCACTAGGCTCACTAAGATCATACTCACGTCAGTTTCGGGCTAAACAGCTTGGTAGTAACGTTGTAGATGTCGGTAATGACTGACGAATCACTGAAAATCACAGGCTTTCTCCGATGTTGACGGTATATCTTTCTGACGAGTGCCAGGAGGTGAGAGAGTTACTCGCAATGTCGAGTCACCACGCTTACTGACACCTATGTAAAAGAAACACCAATACGTCATTCATCAAACTAAATTAGGTACGGGTAGTGACAGTGAGTGTTCTTAGTGCAAGCACACTGATCATCGCCAACCGAACACAACTTTCTATATACCCTCAAAACAGCTGCACATACCCGAGTAGGTCTGCTGGAATAAGTCAACATTATTTCTCAATAAGTCAGATGAAGTCAAATTCTGTGTGTAGGCCAAGAAATATGCCAAATGCTGGACTCTGAAAAACAAGTTTGTCCTTAAAACCTGTTGGAAAGAGAGGAGATAATAATACACCTTTGCCTAGAACTGCAGCCCGTATACTTGACTGCTTCATTTCCCCAAGTATCCTAGATACAATATCAACCAGTTTGATCCCCCTGTGATCAGCACAGAGGAAGTCTGGCCATCTACACAAATCTAATAAAACTATCTAAGACCACCGCGCCACATTGACTAGAACACCAATTATCCCACTCCACTACTCATCACCCTCATCTTAAAACACCTGAAGAGCCACGCTGTTGGTCAGTTGACGCAATCCGCTTCGTCTTAGATCGCAGAGAGATTCTGCAACCTCAACTACAGTTCTACCAGCGATGTCTACATTGGGAAAACAAAGCTACCTCAAGTGCTAATTTCCTCACCAACTGAGAAGAAAAATATCACTACTTCACTATATTAACAAAACATTGTGGAGAAGGGAAGTTAGTCACCAGATTCACCGACTTACACAAAACTCCTCAATAACACAAGGTGAAATATTAAATGAAAATAACAAATAGTATCAGCACAAAATATTATGAAAGGACAATTACCAACAGCAGACGAAACAGACTACCTGGAGATGCATTTGTGAGACCAGCAGATCGTGATGTAGAAGTAGAGACGCCATCTAGCATTAGTGAACTGGAAACACTTGGCGTAGTTATCAAATCTCTAGTATTATCTATAGCGCCAGCATATCGATTTTCCGTGAACCAATCAGCTTTATTAACACTTTCACCTGAAATTTAACATATAACACATATTATATGACAACAAAAATTACGTCTAAGTCAACTTTCATATTTATGCACGATGTGAGCTGGAACTATTACACCTTTCCTCAACATATAGACATGAGTTCAATATGATAGGAGTGATGAATGAAATGATTTCCTGTGACCACTTTGTCACAATACCAAAGTAGAATAGAATATTACTCCACTAGTGATCTTAACTGCTACACGTCATTTCTCCACATTACAATTATAATTCAGTTTCCCACGACTAACAAAAAACCACAGGTCTAGCCATAGGTTCTGATCGGCGTCCGGCTGGTTCATTTAAGCGCTCCACTTTCAGTCCATGGGTTCGCGGAATTCAAATCCTGTAAAGTCAAATTCATCCTACCCAACTTGGTAGCAATCTTAGTCTTCACAAAATATGTGTGGCCTACGGTCCGATACACGAGATATCTGCTTTGGGCAACTCAGTCACTTTATGCTGCTGATATATTGAATATTCCAAGTATACCCCCACACCAATATCTTACTTTCCCCCTGTGCTATTTGTTCACATCCCCATCCTTTACATTCCTTATTCCTACTCAAAAAGATACAACTTACGAAAAAATAAACAAACACAACTATGATGCAGAAACAGCTTAAGTTGAATTCCGGTAATTGGTACGATATAAACAATTCTGAGTCCTTAATTTCAAAACTTTCAAGTTAAAATTAAGCAAAAAACAGTTACAATAAATATTTCTTACCTGCTCGCCAACGTTTTAATTCACTCTCCAGATGACTTGCAATAGTGTGTAATTTACCAACCTTCTCTTTTTCTTGCTCATATCTCCTACGCCATCCATCAGTCGTCATTTCTTCGTTCACCGTTACCAGATTCTTGATGGTCTTAGCTCGCATACCGAACATTAGGGCGGACTTCGTTTCGACTTCATTGTAACCAGCAGGAGAACAACAGATCACCATAGTTGTTCGTGCATTTCCTCCAAGAGATTCTTTAAGAATGCGAGTTAGTTTAGAGACACGATAAGGAACGTGAGGCTACAACAGAAAATTATTTAACAGATCAATAGTTTCATAAGGCAGTAGCAGTCATCTTCAAATAAGTACAACATATGCAGACAAGAGATTCAGGTCACCGTAGAAGCTAGAAATACGATTTAGTGTGATGGATTCTTCTGCCTCAGAAACATACACGGTACAGAACTCTGCTAAGAATCAAACACATAAAAACAGGCGTGATCAAAACACAACAATTCAATATCTCATGCGTCTTAATCGCGTGGAAATTTCAAGTCAACAGTGGCTACAATATCACCACCACCATCACAACCTGAAAGTATAAACTTACCCTGCCTTCCACAAGTGCATTGATCACATTACCAAGAGCAAAAAGTGATTTGTTAATATTTTTGGCTTCGTCCAACACAGTACCCCCAGCGCCTGTCTTCGCAACATCCTCACTACCAGCCAAATCAACAAGATAAAGTTTCCCATGTAGTTTCTTTCGAGTTTCCAAGTTCTCTTGTTGAACATTGATTAGGAGAACTGAGTGACTTCGAGAACTGTGCTCATTCATGTCTATAAATGGATAAGAAGTCAAACAGTGTCACATAGACCCCAAAATAACTTAAATTTCATGCACAAAAACGTAATATTTCAGTCAAACCACCAAGCCTAGCTAACACTCAGGTACGACATATACTAGGAATACTTACTCGTTACGGCTACATGACGGTTGGCCTTCCCCTTGGCAATGGCTTTATAAACCTCTTCTGGAGTGGAAACAAACTTTTCCGTGACACCCTTAGAGATTCTTGTTAGGGAGGAATTATATCTTACTTTCACGTAAGGAACTCCGTCTTTATCTTCATGGACCTTTAGGTTTGTCCTCGAAACTGAATCAAGATATAAATTAGATCGAAAACATTACCATCAAGCAGATCACGGATTTTTTCCATATATATTTCAAAGTAAGAAACCTGAAGATAAGAAGAGCAGCACCACAAAAATTACCTTAATATGGAACTCCAAGTTCTCGTCCATTTGGTATATATGGTTGAATATATCATGAACTATCCGCGGGATAACACCTTGAAAGACTGGGTCACCTAAAATACCCTAAGGAGAAGCAATCAGAAAACAGAATGTCACACCTCCATAGTAAAAGTCTTTCCACTTGATGTTTGACCATAGGCGAATATTGTCCCATTATATCCATTCAACACATCTGCAACAATAGGCTTGGCCACAACTTTGTAAACCTCCAACTGAGATGCCTTCGGCTGAACTACGTGATCAAAGCTAAAGATTTTACCCTAGATAGAAAAGTTGTCACAAATTAAAACCATCAAACATACCCTAAGAGATACAGTTGTGTTTCCATCACCGGGGAATGACACCACAAACTTGCTGTCGTTTGCTTTCTCTTGCTCACTAAGTGGCCTCACACGGCACACAACTTTAATACTCTCAATCATAGCAACCAATAAATTTGAGTCTGAAAAGCTGAGTAACTTCTCAGGAGCCCGCCAACGTCTTTAAGCAATCAGATGAGCAGACAGATAAACAAAGCAGAACACATATTGAACAGTATGTGTAAAGTTAGCCTGCATCAAAATGAAAGAGTGAGGGTGAATCCCTTGCAATCTATACAGTCTCCCTTCGTTTGTCTGTCTCCTCTCCTCAGTGCCAAGTTTAAGAGACTTGGTACTCTGTTCATCAAGCGGCTAGTTTGTAGAATTCGGGAAGGTTGTCGTGATAGAATGCACGGTAGGGTCCCAGCTGACTACAGTGAGCAGCAGAAATGACAATCTTTCATGAAATACGTATATAGGTGTTGTGCATGAGTGATTTCAAATGGCATCTGAGATGGAGAATAGGATTTTCACCTTCATCGTGATGGGCAATGGAAATGAAAATAGATGCAAATTGAGTGAAAAATATCCACAAATTAGAAGACCATAGGTATTTTTCCACTGATAACTAAATGACAGATCTCTTGTGCATGCCATATCATAGGCTATTGCCAATCAATTACGCGATTCTCGAACCTACCTGAGCAAAGGATAGGACTGGTGTTTGAACCTCAACTATGAGATGTGATTCGTGAGTAAATTGAAGTAGGGTAGGAGAAAAATCCGTGGATGGATGAACGGAGGAGTGGTCGGGAAGTGGACTGAGGGATATTACATTATTCCTGGTATTTATCGTCAATCGACAGAGAGAATGGTGAAGAAGGGCACTAATTGTCCGATTAGTGCTCTCCAGTAAACCACTCAGCTCTCGGTGGCTTGACGGTTGAACACCTGCCAGCCATGCTTGTGGTCCAGTGTCCTATCCCTGGCCGATGCACTCCTTTCCCTCGCTAAGCCGATAATAAAACTAGTAAAGAGGGAAGGTTGGGCATTAGGCTAGTAACTCCACCCCATAAAGCAAATGCCACTGCTACCGAAACGTCAAAGCCCTAGCCTGAAGCCCTGCTCCACTGAGAATGTAAATGAATCAAAAAACTGAAACACTCTTGATTCAGTAATGAACGACCATGTGGCTCGAACGCAGTCGTGCAGAAAGCACTTCAGATGTTAGCAATAAGTTGACCATTAAAAACGACACTGCGATTACAGTGTAGTGTTTGTGGAGTCCCTAACATAGAAATTCCATGGCCACTGAACTCCAGACCAAGGATGGTTGCACCGCTTCACACTCCGGTGATCTTGTTTCGAAGTTGCCAGTTCCTCCGTGATACAAGCACTCAAGCTTTGCTTCTATACCTGTGTTAACATGGTTATGAGGGGCACTGGCGATGACTCTAGGGGTGGCTTCCCTCAGCCACAGATATCACAGGTGATAGAGCTCAGAGACACCATGATGCCACAGTGGCCACCCAAAGTTTTGATGGATGGCATGTTCTATCTGGTGTATATCAGCATGGCGGAGTCTGCAGTGAATGTGAATGCCCGGATTCTTGACATCGACAACCAGGTGACAGGGAGGTGAGTTCGGTCTCACTACATGTGGAACCTCAATAATTAATTAGCTCAGACATGGTACTGCACGTGCATCACCACCTGGCAAATAAGTGCTACAGTCATTTACCTCAACTTTCGACATATTCTTTAGTTTCTAGCCGGTTGTAAGCCTGTGAGAAGGTGGAGTTTTGGGAGTGGATTTCGATTCAATCACGGAAAACCAATCTAGACACTACATAAACTTCAGAGTACTCCGAAACTATCAACATAAAATACGTCTTAATTAGAATGTGGCCGGCTTCTGAAAGCCTCTGGAAAGACACCCATCCGATTTGTCTTCTTACTTTGAAGTCAAAACAAACATTTGCGCATGAAACGCTCGTACAATGTAGGGAACTCGGAAGGCTACCCAGATTTTTAAAGAAACCAGAACAGCAAGATGATACTTCCGATTTAACCACTGCCTCTCCAAATTTAACTTACCAGTAAATCGAATGACTTTCAAATATGGCTGCAAAGTCTTACACGTATCATGAAATACTCATAAAACTAACATTCGATCAACACCATCTGTCAGTCTCGTCTCATTAAACCGTTAATGCTCAGCTCTCGCTACGCTCGGGCCCACGCTGTTCCTTTGAGTTTCAGAAACGCTTAGTAATAACGGACGCAAAAACCAAAACACCGATCTGCTGCTTGTTATTTCTTTATTGTTACACCAACATATAAAAGGAATAAACGAACTAAGGTCTGTAAACAGATATTACAATAATAAATCGTTGTTACTTCTGACGATGTTTCGCTCTTCTTACTGAACAGCGACCGATGAGACGATGACTGTCGTATTGATGCCTCCGCGAAAATCGAGGAAGTTGATTTTGAGCAAACAACCAAGAATTGATCGCTCAATCTTCAACTCCATTGACACTCCCCGGCAAAAAAGGGATCCAACCCTTTTTCCTTCACGATCAATGCACGTTGACTTGGATGCCATTGCGAGAACCTGCGTCACACGGACACAGCTGAAATGGAAAACAAACAGAAAAGCCAACACACCACAAGCATACCACCCACAGCACAATCTCACATATCAATGACGACCTGCGCCTCCAGATAAAGGCATTCTCTTAACACGTCTACTTGCAACACAATCGCCGCTTGTTAGAATGACTCTTGCAGAATGCATTTCATGTCTTGATGGAATACCCTTGAAGAATTGCAGGACTTACACCAGTACGCCTACAAACCTTCATAGGTTGACGATTGTAAGTTGTGGAATGTCCAGACACAAACAAGATTAACCAACAATTACATCAATTGGAACTCACACAACTATTTAACACAAACATATGTACAATCAACACATCAAATGTTGTGGATTCTGCCTTGACGAGCTAGCCTTGAAGAACCGTATGACTTACAGCAGTACGCCTACATTCCTTCTCAGGTTGATGATCCAAGTGGAAGTCGTCCGGACACAAACAGAATTACCAACAGCTAGATGACAGATGATATCAATTCAGTTTATACAATATGAACATATGTACAAGATCATACACCAAGCACATTGGACTGCTCATTGATGCGCTACCCTTTGAAGAACTGTAGGACTTACAACAGTACGCCTACAACCCTACTCAGGTTGACGCCCTAGGTGGAAAA